GGGGGAAGGATTGCATGAGGGGATTGTAAAATGAGAAGATATACGATAGAATGAATGCAAAACTAATGTTCTCCCATGTAAACTATCACATAATTCACAATAAAACATAAAAAAAAACCCAAAAAAACCCTATATAGGGTCACTATGAGTCAGAACCTACTCAATGGCACTTAGCAACAACTTCTAGGCAAGAAGTCCTAGTGGCACAATAGGTAAGCACCAGCTGCTAACCAAAAGGTCAGTAGTTTAAACCCACCAGCTACTCCACACAGGAGAATGATGCGACAGTTGTTTTCCATGATGATTACTTACAGCCTTGGAAACTAGTTTTATTCCGCCCTTCCTACGGGGTGGGTCACTGTGAGTCAGAATTGACTCAACAGCAGTAGGTTTGGGTTTTGGTTTCTAGTAGGTGAAGACACTGTCAGTGTTTCTTTTAGAGAAATATGAGTTGCCAATGTCTCAATAACTAACCCCGCCCACTGCCTCTATTTCATTTTTCTGGATCCCTTCTTGCCTCCCTCAATCAATCCTTCTTAAAATTGCCAGAGTCAATTTCTAAGCCAAATCTCATCATGTTACTCACTTGCTTAGACACCGTCCTTCTAAACAACATACTAAGTTCCTAAGTTCGAAACTACCAGCTGTCCTGCGGGAGAGATAGAGATGAGGCTTTCTGCTCCCGTAAAGATTTACAGCCTTGGAAACCCTGTAAAGGGTCGCTATGGGTCGGAACCGACTCCATGGCACATAACAACAACAAGTATAATTCTATTAAGCAATTTCAATTTCATCCCAACCAGTATTTCTGATGGTTATCATTGGCTAAGTACACCTAGTACAAAACCATGCACCCTAAGTACCAGATGCAGACTAATGCCCATTCCTGAACATGACACACACATCCAAGCCACATATATCCATGCCACAAAGCTTTTCCTCATGTGTTCTCACCACTGAAAATCACCTTGCCCCTCTGGAAAGTCCTATTCCATCTTTAACGTCTTGATTAATGGTACTTCCTCTGTAAAGTTACTCCACCTTCTACTGTCAGACCCACCACCACCAGCACAAAATCAATTCTCTGGATTTCCATAATATACTCATTAGAGTATATATAAGAAATGCAAGTAAAAATTGCAACGAGACACCACCTTACACAGGCAGTAATAACACTGATTTAAAAAAAACAAAACCCAGAAAGTTACAAATGCTGGCGAGGTTGTGTGATGATTGGAAATCTCATGAACTGATGTAGGAATGTAAGAATAGCATAACCACTACTGAAAAAGGTTTGGCACTTCCTCAAAAAGTTGGAAATACCATTCAGTCCAGCAATTCCACTCATAAGGACCTATTCTAGAGCAAAGTGAGCTGTGACAGGAATACACATATGAACACCCATGTTCATCCTGACATTACTCAAAATAGCAAAAAGATGTCCACCTACAGCTTTAAGTGCTCACCAATTTAGGCCCACCAACACGAATGGATAAACTGATATATACAAACAATGAAATACAATGCAATATTAAGGAGCAACACAATGGAATACAATGAAATGTTAAAGAGTAACAATGAATCTATGAAAAATCTCACACCATGGACCTAATTTGGAAGGCATTAGGCTGAGTGAAATAAATCAATCACAAAAGGACATGTATTGTAGGAGACCACTACCATAAAAAGTCAAGAAAAGGTTTATATACAGAAGAAACACTCTTTGATGGTTACTGGGATGGACAGGCATGGGAAGGAATATCACTAACTAGATGGTGGTGGTGTGTTGTGGAGTCAGTTCTGAGTCATAGGAACCCGGTAATGGATTTCCAAGGCTATATATCTTTAAGGGAGCAGAAAGTCTCACCTTTCGCCTGTGGAGCAGCTGGTAGATCAAACTTCTGACCTTATGGTTAGCAGCCCAACTTGTAACTCACTACACTACCAGAGTTCCTTAACTAGATAGTAGACATATGCTTTAACTTTGCTGAATGTAAAGACAATACACAATATGGGGAGGGGGGAAGGGGGGAGTCAGCAGAACATAATCATGGCAAAGGAGGAAACTGAAAGGTATGCAAGAGTAAAAGGCAACAATGATAAATACTATTTACACATATAACCTGCAACAGCAGTGCTAAATAATAATGTAAAAGTAGATACATAGGTAGTTAGGGGTGGCAGGGTAAATGGGAGTTCACCCATCTACATATATGGGGTTGGCGATGGATATGCCTACATACAATTTTGTACATGCTGCAAATACACCTATACCCATGTAAAAGAGTGCACAGGCAACAGTCATGAAAATCTCTTAGCCATAACTAAACACCTCCCGGGACTGAGATACTGGGCTTGAGGGCTAGAGAAGAGTCTCAGAGGGCAGTTAGGTCAACTGTCATATCAAAGTCCATACAGACAATGCTCTACACATCCTACTTTGGTGAGTACCAACAGGGGTCTTAACAACTAAAGGATCACAAGAACCAAAGTCTTTACTAATCTGAGACCAGAAGTGCTAGATGGTGTCTGCCTATTGCTACTGACCGCTCTGACAATAAAAGGTAGTGAAATGAATGGGAGAAAGAAGTAGAACAAAATTCAAATTCTTAAGAAAAAAAAACCAACCAGGTTTACTGGTCTGATAGAGAGTGGGGGCCCTTAAGACACCCTTCTTAGAACTAAAGCCACTTTCAGAAATCACCTTTCAGACACATGAACAGCCTATACAGCGTACAAAAACACCTGGAAAAAACATGCTCTAAAACAACCAACTATATGACACCAAAAGGGCAGCATCTGCCTAAAAGCAGTGTAAAGAAGGCAGAAAGGGGTAGGAAAATTGGACAAACAGAACAGGGAGCCCCAAGTGGAAATGGGGAGAGTTGGTAACATATTGTGGGGACTGCAACCAATCTGTATAAACTGCTAAACTGGAAACTAATTTGCTCTGTAAACTTTCACCTAAACCAAAATAAAATTAAAGTACAAGAAAAAGCCTTTCCCATGACCTAGCTATCTCTTTCAAGGTACTACACCATGAAAGAGATCATCTTTCCTTCATCTTTAACTTTAAAAACATCAACCCTATACTTCCACTTCCTCTCCACATCTTCCTAAACCCATTATAGTCTGCTCTGTTCAAGTTACTGAGAACCCCTAAGCTGCCTAAGGACTACCCAGAGGAGCACTTTTCCAGCTCCCAAGGAGCCATGGTGGTACCATGGGCTAAGCACTGGGCTGCCAACCACAAGGTCAGCATTTCAAACCCACCAGCCACTCCTTGAGAGGAAAGATGAGATTTTCTGCTCCCATAAAGATTTACAGTCTCAGCAACCCTATATAGTTCTATTCTGTCATATGTAGGGTCACTCTGAGTAGAAATGAACTCCATGGCAGTGGGATTTTGGTTTCCCTGTCAGCCTCAACTGCTCTACAATTGGTTTCTATCACTTTGGTTTCTGTAGCTTCCACACCAACCTGCATTTTCCTCTACCTCTACATGAATAAATACAGGAAAGACTTCAAATGATGCCGCACTTATATTAAGTACTATGACTGTTTAGCTAATTTATTATTATTACTACTATTATATTTGATCATTTATTCCTCCTCAAAATCCACCAGCCACTCCTTGGAAACCCTAAATGGGGTTGCTATGAGTTGGAACTTTAACAACTCCCCACATAGCCAAGATTCTGGCCTTGGCAATCTTCCCTTCTTCCCTACTCACCTTTCCCCTTGGCGCTGTTTGTTATCTACTTAGAGGTTTTAGTAATCCCACCAGTAAAATGATTATGAATCTCTTTCATAAATCCAAATCTTGTCTCCAGAACCACAGATCCACAATTCTAAGTTCTGGACATTCAATATCCAAATCTAACTGTTAACTACAGGACTTAAATACTAACAGTACTATTATTAGCGCTGTAGGATAAGCACTGGACCACAGGGTCCATGGTTCAAACTCACCAGCCTCTCCTTGGAAACTCTACACAGGGTCTCTATGAGTCCAAACAGACTTGGCTTGACAGCACTTAACAGTACATCATTAGCTATTTACATAGTCACCTTAAACTCTCTGCTTAAAGGAAGGCAAAGACCTTTTACTTTGTAAAAGTTGGACAGTAGGCACAGAATCTGAATCTTTTCTTTTTTAAAAGAAAAGCTTGATCATTTACAACAGCAAATTGTTTAGAGGTTCCTGAACACTTTCTCAAACATTATTAAGCTACTGTGATAAAAAACGCAGCTACAGTTTTTAAACAAGTTGGGTATGAGACAAGAGGAAAATAACCAGATAATGACAAAAGGCAGCTAAATGCCTCAACAGTTCACATCTGTTTTACACATCGTCCCTGGTATTTGTTGTTGTGAAGTGCCGTGCAGTCGGTTCCAACCCATAGCGATCCTGTATAGAGTTTCCGAGGAGCGGCTGGTGAGCTTGAACCAAACAAACTTACCAGTTCAGCGCATTAACCCGCAGCGCCCCACAAGGACTTCTTAAATACGAAGTTAAGGTAACTGGATTCCTACTGCCACTTGCGTGGTACCTTCGAGCCCCTAGCCTCATCGGCTCACTGAGACATTTCCACTTGAAGAGTTCTAATTCCTTTTCTTAGATATTCACGTTTCTACAAAAAGATTTAGTCTGTGCAGGCACCCAACTCCCTGGCAAGTCTTCTCACTTTCTCGGATTCCTTCTCCAACAACTCCAGTCCTATGTCCTCCGAGCTACTTTAGCACCTGCGATACTTGCAATCACAACTTAGCCACACACTGTCTATCTCTATCGTTTCACAATTAATCTGAAAGTGGGGTCGAGAAAAGCAATGCACACTGCTTGGGCAGGAGCTGGGCTTCCTCCTGCTGCTGCTGCGTGCCTAAAAAACCATTGCAAAACTATTTATCTAAGGTTGCAGCCTAAGCCTCCTCCCTCCCGGGTTTATTCCTTTCCAGGACCAAAGGCTTCTCTAAGATGAAGCCATAGTCTTCCTCACCCAGCAACTCGAGGTTCATCCCTGCGGACTCTGGCCGCCTGCTCTCCGCTCCGGCAGCAACGCCTTCTCCCCCGCCCGCTTCCAAGGCCTGCGTCTAAGTGAGTATACTGCGAATTGACCGGCGCAAGCTCCGGAGACTTTCTGGCTTAGAAGGCCCGCGGCTTCCGCTTTCTTTTCCCCGCCTTCTTTATTCGTTTCTGGTGGGCTGTCCACAAATATGCCTAACCAAAACCAAGAATAAATGAATTCAAAGACATTTGATTCTGATCAGCTTTAAGCGGCAAAACTCGTATCACTACTTTTAGTACTTTAAAAAAAGTGCAAATATTTTAAACTATTTTCCTCAGGACGATGTAAATTAACTAGAACTTTCAGGCATATAGTGAGACTACTAATCCTCACTACATTGTGTGTTCAGCGGCAATGGACCGACGATCGGAATCAAATTCAGCATAAAAGGTTCCGGGCAAGTCTGGCTGTCATAGGAAAGAGGGAAAGGCCTTCTCCTGCTGCTCTGGTGTGTAACGCTGTTGACGTTATCTAGGCGCTTACTCACCTGGTATGTAGACTAATTCCCGTACTTCTATTTTCAGTCTCGTGAAAATCATTTAACATTTGTATGTATATGCCTTGGATCCTACAGAAACTCATCCTGTACTTTATGCAGGGCTTTTATCTTCAGGACTATACCACGGACCCAGTGTTAAGACACCATGAAAATAAAATGGAATAGGTGGTGGGCTGAGTTCCAGGACTTCAGGCTGACTGAGTCCCTGGACCTCAGACAAGCATGTGAAAACAAAACAGAGGTCAGATGATGGTAACTGACGAAGGGGGCAAGTTTTATATAAACAAGTTCCAGAAGGTACATTACAGACTGGATTCTGTTAGCTAAAATAAAAAGAACGATGGGGTCTAGCTGCAGAAATGATTCCAGCTTAATCTCCAACAATCCCAGCTCCCATACTTTACTAACTTCATTCCTTGGGCAATATTTCATCCTCCGTACCTCAGTTTTCCTATATAGAATAGGATAAGGAGCTCTGGTAGAATAGTGGTTACAAGTCGAGCTGCTAATCTCAAGGTCGGCAGTTCAAAACTACCAGCAGTTCCGAAGAAGAAAGATGAGGAGTTCTGCTCCCGTAAAGATTTACAGTCTCGGAAACGCTATGCAGGGTCGCTGTGGATCGGAACCGACTCCACAGCACACAGCCGCCACCACCACCACCAATGTGAGGATGATAATAATAGTACTTATAGGACTCCTGGTGTGGCATTATAGGTAAGCGCTGGACTGCATACCAAAACGTCAGCGGTCCAAACCCACTAACTGTTCCTCGGAAACCATGTATAGGGGCGCTATCAGTCGGAATCAACTCAACGGCACTTAACAAGAGGATAAAAGATGTTAACACACACGAGGGGACTTCAAAAAGTTCGTGGGACAATAAAATTAAAAGAGAATGGAACTTTTCCACAAAAACAGTTGGTTAAGTGCCGTGGAGTCAGTTGCAACCCAAATTTTCCGGGGATCAGGAAGCCTCATCTTTCTCCCGCTGTGCAGCTGGTGGGCTCGAACCGTGGGTTTTGTTGTTATCGGTCAAGCTCCTGCTTAAAACAGTAAGCAACTAGTAATTATTTTTGTTGTTATGTTGTGGGACCTAAAGAAAGGACTCCATTTTGTGCTTTGGCCGAAGCGCGTCTTCCTGTTTCAGGAATGCGCCTGGTCAGCTCGTGCTTCATGAGAGCAGTTCTCCTCCCCCAGCAAGCAGTAAAGGATAAACATTCCCGACAATTCAAGGCTGGATAATGCATGTCTTCCTTTACCTTAACCTAGCAGCTCAAGCTACTAATAGTAACCAATCAGAATGTAACACCTCATACCTTGCAAAATGTAAACCAATCCTAGAGTAACTAAACTGAAGACCCCCGAACCCGCTTGTAATCTCTATAAAAACCCCCACCGACTAAGAGTTCGAGGCTCCATCTCTAGTCCGATGCGTCGGATGCAGATGGGGCCCTAGCTCGAGCTTGAATAAACAACCTTTGTGTATTTGCATCGGCATTGGCTCCTTGGTGGTCTTTGGGGACCCCGTAATCTGGGCACTTCATCGTGCCATCAAGTGGATTACGACTCAGCGACCCTACCTACATAGGGTTTCCAGAAGCAACTTGTGGGTTAGAACTGCTGACCTTGCAGTTCGTACCGACCTTGAGGTCCAATCCTACAGCGTCACATTGTTGCTAAGCCCCATCGACTGGATTCCAACTCATAGTGACCCTATAGGGTTTCCAAGGCGCAGCTGATGAGTTTGAACCGCCAATCTTGAGGTTCAAACCAACCTTGCAGTCCAGAACATTATCCTGCAGTGCCACACCAAGATTACTATTTACACGGAGTCCTGGTGTGGCACTGTGGGATAAAGCACTTCGTTGAGACCAACAGATCACGTATCAGACCCGTTTGAACAAACGCATTAATTTGCCACAATGCCATCCAAAATACTCTTCTACCAACAATGGTATGTTGTTATAGTTACATGCTGTTGAGTTCATCCAACTCATAAAAACCCTCATAGGGTTTCCTAGGCGGAGGAACTGCTGATGGATGAATTGCTGACCTTGTGGCTAGCAGTCTGGTGCTTATCCTACAGCGCCACATAGTGGTATATTGTTGTAAGTGCTGTCTAGTCGATTCCTTCTCAGTGATCCTGTATAGTGTCTCTGAGGACCAACTGGTGGAACCCGCAACCTTGCGGTTTGCACCAATTTTATCCCACAGCACCAAGCCAAGATTACACACACACAGTGGTGTACAGGAGTTTATTTCTGCACATTCTTGTGCTGTCATTATATGTATCATTGTTAAAACAGTTTTAAAGAGAATAAACAAGTTGTCACTGTGTGTGTTCATTTTTTTCTTTTATGAGATAAGCTGTTCTAGTCATCTGTCCATTTTTCAGCTGAGTTATTTATCATGTAGGATTTTGAAACAAGGAATAACACCAGATTGGTGATTAAAACAAAACTATTTAGGGCAATGCAAAGTAGGGGTTGTGCTAGTTGGCTCTGATCCATGGTGACCACAGTACAACAGAATGAAACACTGCCTGACCTGCCACCACCTGCATGATCACGGGTGTGCTTGCATCCATTATTGTATGCACTGTACATTTTTACTACCTTTCAACCTAGGAAACTTCCCAGCACTATATTAAACAATATTCTGTTGTGAGCTACGTAGTGTTTTCACTGACTCATTTTCAGAAGTAGACTGCCAGACCTTTCTTCCTAACCAGTCTGGAAGTGCTACTGAAAACTATCAACCATAGGTGAACCTGCTGGTATCTGAAATACCAGTGCATAGCTTCCAGAATCATGGCCAGTACCACAAACTGACAGATGAGTGGTGGTGGTTGTGTGCCACCAAGTCTGTTCCAACTCTTGTTCCAATCCTGCATGGGGTTTCCGAGATTATACATCTGTAAGGGAGCAGAATGCCTCATCTTTCTCCTGTGGAATGACTGGTAGATTGGACTTGCTAAAATAAATACATTTCAGCAGCCCATAATCCACTACACTCATAATCCACTACACTACTAGGGATCCTGACAGATGGGCTTGTTGTTGTTAAGTGCCATTGAGTCGGTGACCCTGTATAGAGTTTCCAAGAAGCGGCTGGTGGTTTTGAACTGCTGCCTTTGAAATTCAAACCGAATTTGCAGTCCAATGCTTACCCTACCGCACCACACCAGGACTCCGACATATGGGTGGTGGCAGAATTATTAAAGGACAGAAAGCAGTTAGGTGGCTACTGCAGTAGTCCTGTGGCGAGATGAGAGACATCAGAAATAAAAGAAGGAAGGCACTACATTCAAGAGAAATACATGTGACAGAATGGGAAAGATCATTTGTAGCTGGAAAGTAAGAGAGGCAGGGGTCTGGCATAACTCACATATTTCGAGTGTGGGTAACTCCATTAACCTGGACAAAGAATGCATGAAAAGGCATCACATTAGCAAGGAAGCTGAAGAGCCCAGTTTGGTATAGGTTTAGAGAGTCTGAGGATTACAAGTGATGTGATGACACCGGCTAGGAGTTTAAGATGGAAGTGTACGCTAAAGCTATACTGGATTTCATCTGCTCTAGGGTGAACATTTCTGTCACATTTTAAAATCTCTGAAGAGAAACATAATAAAAAATACCTCAATTTAATTAGCCATATAATTCTCTTTCTTAGTTCTTCATAAAATAACTGTCTTTTAATCTGTGATATCTTGGATTTGATGAGAAACGGCATAATTGGTGGACTTTGCCTTACAAGTGTTCACTGGAGCTTATTAACATTACCAACTACCAGAGGAGGTATAAAAAAGAGGCATGGGGGCTGATGTCTGACCCCCCTCTAACTTCACAAAGAGGAAAGAAGAGAATCAAAGTCAGTGTTAACCCAAGGCTGATTACTAAGGAGGCTGAGGTCAGACTCCATCTACCAACCATCTCTCCCACAGCATTCTCTACTATTCAGTTGAGTTCAATATCTCATTACAGTGGTCACACAGAACTGAGATGATACTATTATGGAATTTATTTGGGAAGTTAATGGGTTACAATTCAAGATCAGAACACACTCAGGATACATGTTTTTGGGCAGGCCTCTCTGTGGCCCTTAGCCCCTTGGTGTGGACTGTCTTGTTCAGGCAATATTACAAAGCTCTTTTAGCACTGCTATAAATCCTTACAGGGCACTCCACTCTGCTGTAAGCCTCAGCCAAGGCACTCAGCTCTAGCTCCCCAGACAACTACTTGGAGACACCTCACACCAGAAGCAAGCTTCCTGCCCCAAATCACTCAGCTTTATGTGTCCATGGGTCAGAAAGCCCACCACTCTGTCTTGTGTTATGGCTCTCGGTTCTGTTACAGCTGTCTCCTGGGCCAAGGAGATTCAACATGCAGGAATCTCAGGGTCCAAATAATGCACTACACTCCTGGCTTTTGCTTTCTGTTGGCAGTAAACTCTCCCTTCCTGCATCTGAGATGGTTCATGTTATACTCACACCAGAGTTCCAAGTTTTCACAATTAACCTTGTTAACAATCACTCACAACCGAATCATGTAA